CGAAAAATATTATTCGTACGACTGCAGTCCTCTCGGTCTCAAGTCATAAGTATATTATTGTAAATCCCCGACGGTATCCTACTTCTACGTTGATATAGGTAGGTATATACACGGATAGCTATCGTCCAAATACCACTCGCTTWATATAATGGAAAATCTACAAACATCCGTTTTTCAGTTCTCGTTTTACGAAGTATGTGTGTACGAAAGTTTTCATATTAAACAGAAATGTATTGTTATTAAAGGTCAAACGAACGACTTACGTCCGTAAACTTCTAAGACACTAAAAATTGAAAAGCAGACTTCACGTTGTTTTACTAATAATTTACAAAACGTACTTACTTATATACTTATCAATAAAAATAATAGCTATTACAATAACATTTCTACTGTTAACAATAATTTTATATAAAAAATACGGTCATTTGAGACATATGTTTTCGAAATCAAGTAGCATTTATCATCCATGACGAGACTTGGCAAATGGCAAATGGCTCGTGACCGGAACGGAATCTTAAACAGCGCGAAACCAGACCGGAATACTTTTAATRCTCTGTGGCAACTCGATGTTAGTGGTGACGGTTGGCGAGGATAAAGATAAAATGATGACCATAACTTTGGGCTAAATTACTATACACCACAATAATATAATAAAACTTGCTATCTATTACCTATGTCTTATATAGTATGCGAAAATGCGATTCTGATGCTATTATGATGTGATGTGCTATATTGACAACAGAGACTATACATTTTTTTCTGCAATGAGTGGTTGATATGTGTAAACATTTTTTTATAGGTGAATGTTGTTATAAAAATGTAACTCAAAAGATTCCAATACAACTTTCCTACATCATTCTCCTGAAAGTAATTTTATTATCATAATTTATACAAACACAGATTATAACTGAATAAATATATGCCGCAGTTTCATATGGGAATTAAACAAATATATTCAGAAAAAATATTCTACTCTAAAGTATGAAACTTAAAAGGGTTTTCGTTTTAAAAAAATATAAAAAATATATATATATATTTACATAATATACATTTAACGGAAAACGTATCAAGTTTTTAACCTTTTTTGTACTGGAAAAAAAATGCAAATTAACGTTTGCAAATAAAATATATATTATAATAGAAGTAAATAATACATGAGACAGTCAAAAAATGAAAATCACTCAGTATAATGGTCGCTTTTGAAAAAATGTAGTATTCTGCAGTTATTGTAAAAATTTGTGGATTCGATCGAATAAATTATACATCACACTTTCTTTTAGAAGTTATGAGACACGAGAGTTCATAATTTATTATTGACCATTAAGTAACTGCGATTTGACACAAGTGCCAACCAAAACAAACTAGGCCAAGTATCACAAAAACAGCAACCTATAAAATAAACAWCTATAAGTAAATATAATTTTTCTACAAACTGATGCCAATAAAAACTAATTAAAATGTTATTTTAGTGGTACGGTATTTCTGGTAAGTCATGATACTATACAAACGCAGAAGATAATATTTGACTCAATCAATGTAATATTTTACCACAAATGTGTGCCTGTCACCTAAATATTATAATTATTATGTGCTTACTGTATATAAAATAAATATCAAATATAAATTATTGTACCTAGTTCCTATATATTTATGTAGAGTACTATATAGTTGGAATTTTTTTTCAGGGCCCACCTGAAACAATTATGTAATTTGCATGTACGTTTATGAGTATTGTTACCTATATTATATATTTAATCGAATAAGTCATCGAGAATGTTGGATTTGTATTTACACACGTATTTGAGTTTGCATTTTCGGCATGCGTAATATTGGCAGTACGTATTAGTGTATTACTAAGGTAAGGGAGGTAGGTATTAGATAGTTAATATTTCGATAGAAGACAAAACTTAAACTTTACCCAAACGGTCAATTTTATATTGAAATTCAAAACGTTTTCGTTCTGTTGTTTTTCAAAAAATACAGAATAGAAAACAATGTAAAACAATGTAATATTATTCGATTATACGTAAAAACGAACGCGGTATTGTATCAATTTATTAATGGTAACTAACATAAAATGTATATATATTATCGCGTGTAGACCCTGTAGTATACGCGTCAATTGACTTTTATTATATTATACCATATAATATTATCATAATTTTACTTTTCTGAAAAATGATTATATTATGTACATATTTGGTGAAAAAAAAACTGTATACCTACCAAATATGATTTTGTACAACTTTCTAAAAGGTATTTTATCAAACCCTCTGAAAAAATGCTATTTCAGTGTTTTTGATGTTCATACTTACATACATGTATTTATATAATATGTTATAATCTGTTTCGTGTGTTAGATGCGGAGACTATATAAGAATGAGGGATTGAGAATAATGACCGTGGCCTATTGTGTTAAATTTAACAAAAGTTTGCTTGACGTATTAACGCAATAACATCCGTTTTCTTTTAAATCTAATATTTACTTTTGGGACTTGTATGGAAACTATACAAGAATTTCGCATCTATGATATCTTCAAATGATCAATAGCCGATGGGCTATCATAAACGAAATGTCCGAAATATATTTTTTTAAATGGTTATGGCTATGTAATTTTTACATACGTGGTTTATTCGCTATATGTGTATAACGATCATTGAAATACTTAACTAATACGGAACAAACCGACAATAATCGTCAAATGATAGTAATCTTACTGAAAGCTAAATTGTGGGGTTTTAGAATTTTTCATAAATCAATTCTCAATCCTAGTTTTAAAAAATCAAAATATACGTTATGATTAAATTATTACAATATTAAATGCGCATTAGGAGATTATATTAAACAATAATCATTAAATCTTTTATGAGATAAATATATCACTTAAAAATATTAACGCGTCCAGCTGTCCTATCAACTTGTTATATTTTTTTATTTAATTATAAACGTCTATAAGGCTCATATACAGTATAACAGTATGACGATAAACATTAAAACTATATATACATACAACAGTATTAAAAAATCAAAATAATACATTTAGTTATACACACAGTTATAATACACTTTAAGTAATAATATTAATGGACATTTTTTATAATAACAAATATGTAAAATAAACTTGCTGCAAAGATAAACAGATATCAATAATATGTTAAAGATACTTGGTTTATAAAATGTAAATATCATGTGTAAAACAAATCAGAGTTTGTTAATTCATAACAGTACCTATCTGCAGACAACACGATCTGAAAGATTATTATAACCATATTATTAGAGAGATTTACCGATTTTCTTTTTTTAAATTTTAATCAATAAACTATATTTTACAAGTGTACAAACAAATGTCAATATGTTTAACTGCAATAATGGCACGAATATACCAATTATTATAGTCAGGAATATTTACATCTTACTTAAAAATGTTTTTCAAATGTTCTAATGGAATTATTTTCGTGCTGCTATTTAAAGTTAATAGACGAGGAGTAACGTAGTTTCATATGTACTATGTTGATTAATCAAGTTTTTTATGTTTCAATTCGTTTTTATATCGTATTATTTAAAAAAAAACATTCCACAGCGACTTTAATTATTGTTAAACATAGTTATTTGACAGATTCCATAGCGTCTATCGTTTTCCACCGTTTACGAAATTACATTTCATGTAATTTCATTAGTGGCCGGCGGCCGTTATAGTTATATGTATAGCTTCGTTCGTTCGTTCGTTCGTTCGTCCGTTTATATATAATATATAAATATATCGTAATTAGAGTGTTGCGTTTTGTTCATAATAGAGTTTATAATGTTTATTGCGTATATATACATTGGTAGGTACCAATATTAATAATTGTCGTTAACAAAAATCGATTTCACATATTTCACGCCGTCGTTATTGTTATAGAACTACGTTACCTACATTTAGGATAGGTATAAGTGTGTAAAAGCAAATTATAACGGAGCGTAAAATAAATAACACATTAACAAAATAATAACGAAAAATAAAAATAATACACCCAGGAAGTTTTATGAAAGGATCTTTTTTTATTTTTTTATGGTTAATGTYTGCCCGCGAGTCCTTAAACAAAAAAACAAAACAAAACAATGCTTTTTCGACCATTTTTATTTATCAATGTGTATATATTTATAATGATTAGTATATATACGAATGAAACATGTCAAACACGTGTTGCTTTGGAACTATTAAAATATTCATTTCACTCGCGTTCTCGTACAAAAGCGTCGTTCTTATAAGTTRTAGGTGGTCAATTATTATAATAAAATAATAATATTATAATGTAATACTTATATCAGCATACAGCCGGTATTGTGACCGACTTCGTAYCTAATTGATGTTATATTATTGTATACCCAGGTATACTGGAAATAATAACGTACGGTTACCAGCAGCTACATCCTATGTATAAATATATGTGTGTGTGTGTATTATGTATTAATATAAACTCTCTCTCTCTCACACACACACACACACTCACACACAAACACACACACACGTCGAACACCTGTATGAGATGGACTAAACGGGTACACAGATAAACTCGACCGCGGTTACTGGTATATAGAGTTAGGGTACGGCGGCGTTACCTTGTATTTACATAACCACAACGTGAAAATATATGTAACTGTCGGCATAGAATTATGTTGCAGGAAACAGAATAATAAAGTCGGTTACCTGATAACATCACAGTTAATGTTTCTATAAAAATAGGACAGTATAATATTTCTACAGCCTGCAGGAATTTTTTGTGATTTAATTTTCTCAGCGATACTGCTGGGGTAACGCGCTTAGTTTTAACAATTATATTATATTATTTACAATCGCGCGTTGTAATAATGATGATATGACAGTGATATTRCGGTAATGACGATGATGATAAATGACAATAGGTGACGCATAATGATAATAATATCGTAAGTATATAATATAGTGTGAGTATCGTCTAGACGATTCCAGCGTAATAAAAACATGAAGAACACCCACCTGGCGGTGTACCGGTCCGTGTCGCCGTGGTCCGGGTCCCTGCTCTCGTTGAGCGAGTCGCCAAACACGTCACGGCACAAGGCCACGCGGCCGCATATCAGTATCCGAGGAATCTTGCGGAAGTTGACGTCGGACAGCCCGTCCCGGCCGAACGCGAACGTGCCACGGTAGCCGACCGTTATGTAGCCGGGCCTCTGTTCGCGGAGCCGCTCGGTAAGGCCGTCCAACCGATAGTAGGCCGCCTCCAGCCGGAGCCGTTCCTTCTCCCGGAAGCTCTCGGGCAGCGACAACTTGCCGTCCCGTAGGAAGTCCAACACGTACCGGAACAGCACGCCGTCTCGGTCGATGAAGTACCGGCCCTTGCTGTCCTTGGGCAGCGGGTCCAACCGGCCGCTGAACCGGTCGGCCAGCAGAGACGGTTGTGTCTGCACCAGCGTGGACGCGGCCGTCGTGTAGAACACGCCGCCGACGTTCAGGTCGACCACCTGGTCCATCGCCGTGCAAGATCTGTAATAGGTCTCGGTGGTGACGACAACGACGACTTTCTAGCCGCAGATACGAGTGATGTCTACTCTGCTTTCGAGACACACTCACCAACACGCCCCGCGCAAATATTATTAATAATACAGCGATGTGGTATAATATTACAATGACGTGCAGTGATGGCGAAGACTGTCGCTATGGCGCAGTGCYGTTATTAATAATTAGCACGTCGTGCAATCTATAAGATTATATTGGCATGTAAAYACAATATACGACACGGCGGTGATATTATAGAATGATAATAATATACGCACGTTCACGACGACGACACACCGACTGCAACCACCGCCGCCGCCGAAGCCGCCGCTACCACCGGTGGTATACGATGACTGACCGGAACGCAGAGTGCACGCCGCCGCTGCCGTCTCACTCTCGTGCCGCGGTGATATAAGTCTAACCGCCTCGCTCTCCTCGCCGACTCGTTCGGAAGCGCGCGCGGGTGGCAGCGCTCGTTGCGCGTAATCAATATACACCACCGCCGCCGCCGCCGCCGCCCCATCACATGTCGTCCCGTCACCGCCCCGCGATCACGACGCTTGCGCCACGGTAGCGCGCGTCGCATCCGTTGCTGTTGCCGCCACCGCTACAGTCGACCGACGTAATCGCGCGAGCAACCCATCTTCACCCATCCTCCCCGCCGGAACGCGCGTCCGACGCAGCCGTCGCGTGCGACATATTTCGATTTAATTAAAAAGAATCACCGCGGGACGCGAATATAACCGCCTGTACATCCACATTCCACACTGCGGCGGTACAATAATATTGCATGATAACGCGGTTAGGCGCGGTTAGGCCCACATATACGCCACACCGCCACTGAATCGTTTCGAAAGAAGAGGAAAACAGATATTTTGACAATAGCGGTCATTATTGTTATAACTGTCAACCGTCGTGGTCTCGTGCGTCCCCAGACGATGTGCTGCAAGGTCGATGTGGTCCCGTGCAGAGCATATTATTATTATATTATACCGCGGTCGGAACTGTTGATGCAGCGGTATAATATGTTACGCCGTCGTCCGAGCGTGGTCAGATAATAATAATAGTGTGTGACCAGAATTACCGATCAGACGTTATACACCCCGTTATACCGTACAAAATAATAATCCGAACAAAAACACGTCTTCCCGCCTTTTCAACACCCCTCCTCTGCCCAACACTCCCGACGTCGTATGATTCTGTTGATTGCACCCACAACGATATCGCATGTTTATGTGTACGTATAGTAGGTATAGTGACCAACAATATTCTAAAAACAAAACATCGTTGTCAAAATGCAGTATTTCCCATCTCATGTGAAACGCGACCTTCGTCAATCGATCCAACACATCATATACCTATACCTAAACAATGCGAATCCAACAATCCATATTATCCATCGTGTAAAATTGGACCATTAATATTATCAACATAACGTCATTATAATACATTATTATCGTATATTTGAACAGTGCAGTATACCTAAACGTCTTACAGCTAACAGACTTTGATGTTATAATTATATTATTATGTGTTTAATCACTTTGTAACAAAAATCATCCGAAATTGAATAATTAGCTATACATACCTACCTATTTTAATAATCTCATTTACTTTTAAATCAAATTATAATATTTCGGTAGGCAACATCAGCAACTATACCTATATAATAAACTTATCGCTGCAACTTTGAAACTTCCATTTCGGGCTAATTGATTAATCGATTCAAGCCACATTGAATATCTACATTAACTGATTTATACTTATTGTATTATATTTCAGCTTGTAAATATTCTCAAACATAAAAAGTAGCGGTGATGAACAGAAACAAAAAGAATAGAGCCKGCAGTATATAATAAATGATATAATACAGGCTTAGTGCAGCTCTTAATTTAATACAATGCTGAGGTGTCGTATTCGGTACCCGCGAGGAAGATAACTTTTCGAGTACCTACCCATTGATGGGGTAAGAAAATGTTCTTTTAAGTCAACATAGTGGGGCACCGAGAGCTACATGAGGGCTGTGGCATATATAATACGTTATATTTTTATTATTTTTTTTTTTTAAGATAAAGACTTCAACATCATGAGGTTATTAGCTTAAAATTGTAATAAATAAGAATAAAATATTTACGTTACGTAATACGAATTATATGAGAGTTTTATACAGTGATTTGATGCGATAATCAAACTGTTGAAGTCCGGCATGTCATCGCATCACAACACACATTATATATTATAACGAGTCCGTCGCTGATCATAATATAATATGGCTAGAGATAGTCTACACAGGGGTGGTTTCTGGGGAGGGGGAGGAGGACCTTCTCAAGCACTTCTTTTTCAAACGGTATTTCTATAAACAATTGCATATTGTGAAAAACAGCATAACAAAAAAAAAATTTTTTAATAGGTATCGAGAGTCTGGAAATGATGACTTAACCCGCCCACCACAAACTATGTCTCTGAAGCAACACCTGATACTATTATACAAGTCCTAGTGGTCGGGTGATAATTACTTTTATKCCATTACATATTCTAATCGTCCGAGGAGAAGCGGTAGTGAAACCCGTTCACGGCAGATCGACATCGTTATTATATATATTATTGCTACGATCCAGGTTTATACGTACCGATTTCTGGTCTGTACCACGRCAAGCCTAGTCATTTAATTTCTACCCGACRTGAGCTGTATATGCGTCTCGTGACTAACGACGATGCAGACCATTGAATTTTTTATATTAAACGACCTTTTCACCGTCATCGTGGACTTAAAAAGCTATACCGCGCACATTATACACATACACAACACGAAGACCTATATTTATAGCTATATATATATTTATTGTATATACTTATTAGTACTTACTCTCATTTGCCTGCAGTATATACATATATATGTTCATATGACACATATAAACACATATATATAATATTTTTAATACCTAGGTACCTATATCGTAGCTGCGGTATTGCATAAATAAAATACGAACATGGACACGTACACTGTGCACCTTTCTGGCGGTGGCTTCTCTCGTTATACGTTTCCTCAAATCCGCACACGTGAACGCGAACGGGAAAATTTAATATTGTACGCCGTGAGCAGTCATTCAAAATGTAACTTCGGTGTTCCTATATACGCTCAGACCCTTCAAAGACGTCTCTTTCGCAGKAACTATTTCTCGCGTCGTACACACGTCATAATAATAATATACGTAATATGTACGTGTGCTTTGTATATGTGTATGTGTGTGTGAGCCTGCAAGCGTGACGTCTCGGTAAATAATTAGTCAAGACACGTTCATATCGTTTGAAACATTTTTTTTTAACATTTCAGCTTATATTCGTTCTCGGAATTAGAGGAAAACAAATTTCGAAAATGTCTTATATTTTTTTGAAATATTTCCTGCCAATTCGCGATAAAATTATGCTCTCCCTTTATAATGCTCTCTTATTTCTTTTCCAATTCACTCATTTTCCATAGATCCTCTAAAAAAAACAAAATTATTTTGACAWGCGTTGAAGTTGAAATCGATCTTATTTGTATTTTTGGAATATACACGATATGTCGATATAACGTAATAATATASATATAATATAATTCTAACAGTACACRATATTATAGTATGAATACATTTATGTGTTAATATTATACAATAAAAATGTATTCGTCATATCAGTCTATTGCAGGCAGCAGGCATGTCCGACTCAAAGTATCAATTGATCCAAATATATTGAAAAGCTATTAATATGCGGGCTGAACATAAAAGTTTAACGAAAAAAAATATTTAAAAAATATCTTATTMGATTACAGTTTGTCAGAAGATAATTACATAGTATCATATTGTATACCACATAAACCCTTCTCTAAGAACCTAAGACACTTGTAAAACATCACTAATATTTTATGCTTTTTTTTTTTATTATTATTTAATGTTTTTGTTCATTAATATAATAGGTAGTCACGGGCCACAAAAAATTGAGTCGCGGGCCTCGTGTTCGAGATGCCTGGTCTATTGCAATAAAACAAAATATCACAAATCTGGTTAAAAAATTCATACTTTTAGATTCTACACATGTTTTAAATATTATAGTTTTGAAAAGATTTAAAGCATTTTTAATGCGATTGGCCTTCTCAATTTATATATTCCATTTCCATAATATAAATATTTGTAGAAATAGTCTGATTCTAATATGTAAACCCACTATATACATAATAACAAATTTAACAGCCATTTCATATTTTATGGAAAATAAGTTATCAAAGAATATAATATTATCCTTAAGACATAAAAAAAAAAATTATTCTCTCAAATTTCAATTTAGATACATTGATATTTTCAGAAAAATCATCTGATAAACAATATACGTAATATGTGATAAATATAATAAGAAGGTTTGTTAAAGTAATAGTTTGTGTCACCGCGGAATACCCGCAGCTTACAATGTATGGAGACATACGRAACCCAAGTATAGGTACCGATTTGAAAATATTCCGGAAATCAGAATTTAAATTTAAAAGGATAAAATGGGGAGGAGAGCGAATATGAATATGCTCACCGCGTCCATAATAATATAACATAATCAAATATGATATTATATATCATACGTACGTTCTAAAGTAGGTCGCAGCTTACGGACAATACGCTTACAAACTCGTGCGATTTCTCACCACTCCGACCCCGAACAATCACGATCACACGCCACTGGAATTTTGCTGAAAAACATAATATTTATCAACGCATATATAGTTTATTTCCGATCGCTCTCTTATGCAGCAGTATAATATACGCGCAAATAACACGGGCGAGTCCTTTTATCCCATTTATTTCCGTTTGAATTTCGTTTCGGATCGCTCATTGACGTCGGCGAATCCGCTTCTCACGCCGCACACGTTTCAAACGGAATAATATACAGTGTCCCGCGAGGATTTTCCCATTACGATATCTACCAAAATAATGGAGATTTAAAAATTCTGGTTTTGTAATACTCACAGGGATACGAACTACAAATATTTCATATTTTAATGTTCTGGTAAAAAAGTTAAAAAATATATTTTTTCATTTAATTATTTCCAAAAAAATTGACCATAGCTATATTCTAGTTTTTTTTTATGAAAATAATGACGTTTCAAAATGGCCATCTTAAATTTTTTGGAAATAATTAAATAAAAAATTTATTTTTTTATTTTTTTATTAATGTTATTGGTTTATTACAAAACCAAAATTTTGATATCTCCATTATTTAGTTATATATTTCAATGGGTAAATCCTCGTGGGACACCCTGTATATTATTGAAAATGATCTCCCCCTTTTCTCTCTCTCTCACGCACACTTTCTCGATACATAAATAATTAAGCTTTGCGAGCTATGCGTATAAGACTTTTTCACTTCCACGGAAT